TTTTTTTTTTTTTTCTCCCCTCCTAATAATTGGAACATTGGCCTGTTTTTATTTTCTTATAATTAATATCACTCTTTCCATCTTTTGATTTGGAGATTTTGTGTCAAAGTGAATAGAACCCTCTTTGTCTCATCCAAGTATATGCCAAATATGGCAAGTATGGATTTCTACACTTACTCGTGTTTTTTTTGCTGTGGACCACTAACATGTGATTTATATTAGCAATTTCAATTTATCATTGTAAGAAGAATAGTTTTGGCATTGATTAAAAATCAATGTTCATTTTATTGTTTGTTTACTTTTTTTTTTTTTTATTGTCATATAAGAGACTTGGATACAAAGAAGATAAAATAAAAACTTGCTTAAATATTCTATTTCCGATCATAAATATTTTTATTATATGTCATATATTATTCGTTTATTTGTCCTTTTTTTTTTTTCTTCTTCATCATAAAAATTGAGATTTTGATGTTGTTAGAATTGGATTGTTGAGTTTCCCGTAATAAATCGAGCTGGAGTTGAGAGATGTAAGAGATCAGGGAAAATGAGTGTGGTCCCACGCAGATCAAGCGCACTAAGACAGAGAAAGTATATATGAAGTTCAAGTGAGGTTTTATCCCAAAACCAATTGGTGGAAGGAGAAGTATCCCATTAGATTTATAAATTAGTCATATTTTCTCTTTATAAACGATGTGGAACAACTCACAAGTGAATATTCTAATACGCACTCTCACTTGTGAGTCCTTAATAAGAAAGTTCAAACCCATAGAGCTGGGTGTCCAAATCCTACTAGAAACAAGCTCCCATAAACGGGTACGTGGGGGAAAACAGGTACACATCGCACGGTCCCATTAGAACCGACTCTGATACCATGTAAGAAGAATGGGAAAAATGGGTGCGTCCCACGCAGGTGGAGCGCACTAAGACAGGGAAAGCCCAGATGAAACCGAAGTGAGGTTTTATCTCAAAACCAACTGGTGGAAGGATGAGTAGTCCATTAAACTTATAAATTAGATATACTTTCCCTATATAAATGATTCGGGACACCTCACAAATCTAATAAGATACAAATTGATTTTTTATTTTGAAAACAATACACTTGGCTTGAAAACACCAAGGCATGAGATCTTTTAATCATAAGAAAATATGAACATATTGAAATCTTAAGCTCTACAAACTAGACATGGCTAAATGGCAGTTCCATGCCGGTTTCAGGTCGGAAAGGCCAGTTCCCGGCGGATCTTTGTTTCTCCAATTATAATTATAAATAAAGAAAAGGAAATTGGAGTGGGGGCGCGGGTTAAAAAATTGGACTTAAGTTTAATTGACATATTATAAGTTAAATATCAATTAAGTTGAAGAATTTAATATTTTAACTTATAATATGTTAGTTAAGTTGTCTACGTATCTCTTACTTGAGAATCAAAGTTCTCGTAATTCTCTTACATTACTTACGTTGATTAAAGTAGATGGTAGAATGTATTGTTAAACCGACGCCCTAGGACTCGACTAATCGTAGTCGTCTTTGTTTCTCGCGGTTCCACTCGTACAAGTAAAATTGTAAGCTTATATTTCTTCATTCTCTTCGGTAGTTAACATGGTTGTTTGCATCCTTCGTTCGGCCTTCTTCCAGCAACATTTATGCCTCTAGGTTTTGTGGCGTCAACCTCAACCGTCGTGAGTCCAATGTGTATCCTCCCTCCCTAAATGTTTGTTCAACCACTACTGCTGAGCTCGGGACAAGGAAAATCTCTTTGGCAATCAAACGTGGAATAGAATAAATGGTACTCATTTTTTTACCACCAATCAAAGACATCAAATTTGAATGGCGCAAATGGTTCACAATCAATCATAAGTTCAAAATTCGAGGCGATGTAGTGATCGAGCTCACTATATCCTGTCCCCACTGCCTCTTGAATCTTAGCATTCTTGTAAGGATTAAAATTTGAGTCCCACTAGTCTTCAAAGTTTGAGGCTTGTTGCATCGTTTGTCTCATTGTCCATAAGAAGAGAAGAAAAATTACGTCAGATTTCGCTGAGTTCGATCGTTGTTTCCCTAAATAATTCACACAATAAAACTTTTGCTTACTTGACGAGCAGTCGTGCATTAGGTTTTTTAATGACAGTCGGGGCATCAATAGAATTGGGAAGTGGGAGTTGATACATAATATCATAATGTGTGTTAAGTTGGTTATACAAGTCATTTTCAATTAGTACGACTCTATCAAACGTGCAACTAAAAATGTATCGTGAATAATAAAATAATATTTTAACTATTTTTTTAGCATATCTCTTACAAGTTCATCGTGTTTCTCAGGATCTTTAATAAAAACATCTTTAAAACCCCATATTACGGATACACATTGACTAACACAAGTTGAACAGTAGGATAGTGAACACCACAACTTATGTTAGTAGCCATTTGAAATGTTTCTAAAAACTCCATAAGTATTTTCGTTTTTTCAATCACTGAGAGTAATAGTGACATCACAATTCTTACATGAAGGACTCCTAAAAAATTTCTCTAATTGTGGAGCCCATTCAAACCTTTTTATTAACGTTTATAAGTTGAGTTCCAACGAGTAAGAATGTCCGGTTGAAATTTTTTAGGAATCAAACCTTGCTCTTTATAATTTTCCTATTTTTTTCGTGTATTGAGGACGGTGATATAAGTAAGTAACGACGTCCCTAATGGGTGTGACATATGCTTTCAAAGCATGATAACTCGTTTGGACACAAAGATTAAGGACATAACATATACACCGAATATGAAAGAATTTTCCACCACAAAAGGGACGATAATTCTTTTTAAGTTAACTTAAAGAAGCAATATTAGCACTAGCATTATCAAATGAAATGATTTTTTTTTTTTTTTGCCAATTTTATAAGTATTTAAGACCTTAGACATAAAACAAGCGATATCGAAGGAGTATAAGTGTTATTAAATCTCGCATAAGCAATTAATCGTATTTGTAATGTAAAACTATCATCTATCTAATGACAAGTAATTCTCATGTAATAATTATCTTGTCAATTATAGGACTAAATGTCGCACCAAATAATTTTTTTTTTTTGTTTAAATCTCTAGAAGTTTGTACTTTGCACCAAAATTATTTTTTTCCCACCCACGAAAGTTCGAATATCAAGAGTGAGAGTATTACATTGAACCCGAGACGTAGCCGGTTTAAAGCCCTTTGAGCAAAACTTTTATATAAATGAATAATAACAAAAACCTAAAGGAAGAGATGAAACAACAAATTCAGTTAGATTGCATATCTATGGGTTTCACGAGCATATTGAAATAAAGTTGAAGACATATCTGTTGGAGTCGCGGATGCAGTGCTACTCCTCAAGATTTGCGTTTGGGTCGTGGGAATCCCCATTTCGACCAGATGATGTGCCTTATGTACCGTTGCATGTTTCGTACCCATCATTAGTATTGGAAGCGTACTTCTTCTTGGCGTTGGGCGGATAATGGTTGCACATAAATATAAAATGTCGTTTATCACCTTTTTTCTATTGGACATCTTAGTGAAATGCCTAGTGAATATGTCGGAGTTCGACCTGGTGGCCGTCTGACGGTTGAGGTTGTTGACCTCCTCCACGTTGACCTTGAGTAGGATCGACACTGTATTCATACGGCTACTCTTGGTCCTACTCGTACTCCTCGTAGGCGCTCCTTTGGATATCATCAATTGAGTGAAAGACTTCTTGGACCTTCTCAAGATAAACGTCATCGAGTAGAACCAGAACATCTCGGTGTATCGTCAGCGTCGGCCTCGACAATGGAGGTCTAATCGAAGATGCGCCTACATTTTTACGTATTTGTGGCTGGCACCACTACCACGACCACCTCAATAACTCGACATTTTATAACTCGGTCTTACATTAAATAACATGTCACACTCACATACATATAGCTTGATGCTATCGCTATGCACTTACTTAGCATGTTATGTTGGTGGAGCAATAGAAATCAAAGATGTGCTAATTATGATGAGAAACACAAACTGAAATAATCAATTATCAGAGCACCGCATTTAGGACTTGATGTCATACAAAATCACGTGAATAGAAAAAAAAGGAAATTAATTCTGTGGATAAATAAATAGTCCATATCATAAATAAAATAACATAATGAATTCAAGTATTTATTTCTTATTAATCCCAAATAAAGAAATACAAATCCTGTTTTGTTTTTCCCAAAATAAGAACCAAAAAAAAAAAAAAAAAAAAAAAAAAA